GTCGGTTAAGCGTCCGACTTTCGCTTAGGTCATGATCTCGCGGTTCGTGGGTTCGAGCCCCGCGTCGGGCTCTGTGCTGACTGCCAGCTCAGAGCCTGGAGCCTGTTTCAGTCTGTGACTCCCTCTCTCTCTGACCCTCCCCTGCTCATGCTGTCTCTCTCTCTCTCTCCTAGAAATAAATACATAAAAAAAAAAAATTAAAAAAAAAAAAAAATTAAAACAGAGTGCCACGTATGTGGTCCAGATTTCCCCAGTAATGTAACACGAGCGCAAACACGTACGAATACTCACGTTGGTGCTTGAAAGGATCCCTCCCTCTCCTTTCATGACTGGTCAAACTCCTGGACTGGAGGAAGATTTGGTCAACTATCAAAAGTCTTTTATTTGGGGTTCTCTTCAAGCTGAACGTTGCCCCATCCCAGGGACATCCCTACACCTTCATTCAGCAGGAAGAATCTACTAAAGTTGATACCTCTGCCTTAATGCCAAAGATTTGTCACTGTCCACCTGTCAGGGGACGTCACAGATGCCTTTAGACAGCAGGCTTCACCAATGGAACCTGAGTGAGGCAGAAGGGGCCACAGTGACCACACAGATGGATGAAAAACAGGCTCATGAAGTGACCCACCTCAACATGGCCACAGGCCAACTATCCAGTGGTCTACTTACAATGGGGCACAGTTACATTAAAAGGGGAATTTCCATGTGTTCCCACACTTCCTGGCTCTGCCCTATGACTATAGCCTGTCACCACCACCTGGTGGCCTGCAGGCCCCTTGCAGTGCATTCAATAAGCTTCTAACTCCTTTGTTGGGTAAATTCTGCCTTGGATGAATTCTTTCACAGCCCATTCTGCCCGCCCCTGCCCCCAATCAATTGGAACACCCTACACATAATATCTTTGGAGCAATAGGAGAGGACACCACATCATTGAAATAAACAGCAAACAATTATGAGGAAAAAAGTAGGATTTGCTTAAATAAAATACATGTTTCCAAAACCTAAGCACACAGAATCCCAGCAATATCAGCTACAACGAAGGCAAGACCATTTCATCCGGGGCTGTAACATGGATTTGCTAGCCACACAGCTGATATGAGGACTGTGATCTAAATATGTTTTTCAAAACTCAAACAACAATAAAAAAGATTAGATTATAGAGACAAATAATACAACTAAATAATGGACAATGGGAGTACACATTTCCCCAGGAAGATACACAAATGGCCAAAAAGCACATGAAATGAGTCAATGTCACCAATCATCAGGATCCGTATGCAGAACGCAACTGGGCAC